CGACGCCTTCCCCAAGGTAAGGCGGGACCCGGCCGGGCTGGCACGCACCATCCCTGCAGCTTTGCACAGCAGAGACCCGGCCCGGGAGCTGGGTTGCATGCGGTGCTGTCGGACTGTAGGGGGCCCAGGCACACCCTGGAGACTTGTTAAAATGCAGATTCTGATGGTGGGCGGGGTGGGTCTTGGGTGGGAAAGTCTGCATTTCTAACAAGCTTCCAGGTGAGGATGAGACTGCCAGTCTTGGGAACCACACTTTGAGGATCTAGGGCCTAGACGTCTTCTGGATAGAGTCACTAGAAGATTAATAGGTTGAGTGTCAAGACTGTCTCCTTTCAACGAAGTCACCTGGGGGACAGACGCCAAGCACTTATTTCGATGATGCAGTCATGGCTCAAAATATTTTGGCAGCTCATCTTTTGGAGTAATTTTCAGAACGATGAAAGTCAGTCTCTTGTCGCATCTGGCATTTGATCTGAAACAAAATTACCCAATCTGATCATCCACCTTATTAATGATAGCACCTTCTACGCTTGCAAATTTCTCTCATTCAGTCCTCACCACACTGCTGTGAAATACACGAGGCAGATGATATTCTCGTTCTACCTGGGTTTCAACCAGGTGAAGTGCCCTGTCCAGATCACAGGGGATCACAGGAGATCTGTGGGGACCTTACCCCATTCAGCTGGTTCATCCTTGCAGATTGACTCTGAGCAACTTGTTACTTGGTCCACCTGTCAGATCTGCCCTGAAATAATAATGATAAAGGATAAAGATTTCTCACCAAAGAAAATATCCGTAAGACAAAGTTTTTTCAAAAGAAAAGTTCCCAAAATATTGATTGGGATGAGAGACTGTCCTCCCTAAAAGCCTTCATGGAAAGGACATCATGCCATTAGAAGTAAATTTTGGGTGTGTTTAATGTTAATATTATTCCCATCAACCAAAACTCACCACTCATAGGCAAGAGACATCTTTTGACCTGGTAAGCTTTGAACGAAGAACTGAAAAGCTAATATTCAAAAGGGTAGTATTGTAGATGATCTGAGACAGTAAGATTCACACATTTCTCTCAAATGCTAACTTTGTATTATAGATGCATTCAGAGTAAAGACTGTGTCTATAAAAGGTTGGGTGAACATGGAAAATCTACCAAGACAATACCCTAAGTGTTTCCTTACTTGACAAGCAGGATGACACTTTTCTGACGCTGTCTCACACTCTCTTTGAATAATTCTCTACTAATGTAGTGATTTCCACATGATGGGCTCTTGAAAGGGAAGAAATGCCAGCATTTTTATATTTTGCAACTCTTATCTCTCATATATGTATTTATAATTTGCATTTTAACATCTTCCACCACTAGCAGGCTTAGTTCACCAACTTATAACATGGAAATAAGACTCACCCACTGCCCTTCCAATACACATCATGTCTGCATTAAAACCAAAACCTTTGTCCCATGAAACTGCATAAAGAATGAAGAGAGAAACAGTCTTTACAGGATGGACCACAAGTAGAAAATAACGGAGGCCATTTCTCTTAAAGAAAAATAAAAACAGTCAATATATTTCAATTGTGCCCAGAAACCATTCTTTTTAGCCCGGAAATCATTTCAATTTGAGTGACCGCTGACCTGGTTTTCAAGTCCTAGGGGCAGCGCCACAGGTTAGCGCCTGAACTCTGTCTCCAGGGCTGTAAGGATTTCCCCCCAACCTTGATGTGGGACAGGGCACAGTGCCTCCCCTCTGGGTCCTCAGGGGCCTATTCTGAGATCCCCAATACTATGTCAGTCACAAAGGAATGGGTGCAGTCATCCTTCATTCAGGCCAGGGGTAGGTCTGGGGCTATTTGTTATAGCTCGGGCCAACAAAGCTCCAGTCAGTTCCACACCAGTTGTGGAAGGAGTCGGAGTCTCCTTGAGAAATCTTAAAACCTTGAGGCTTTCACCAAAAAGCATTACCCACCATTGTGTCCCCTATACATAACACAGTGCAGGCAAGTGCAGACCTTCAATCAGTGTTAGCTGAATGAATGAATGAAAGAGATTCCAGCACCCTGGGCAAATCTTTAGAAATAAGGATCCAACCCATCTGCACTGAGATTCTCCCCAAACCTCTAGGGGGCACCTCCATGCCTAGCCAGGAGCAGATGGCTATGGAGACGCATTTACCACTTAGAATCCTCTAAGCAAAGGCAGAAGTGTCTGTGATGTTGTAGCCTTGCCCCAGCACAACCGGAGCAGACACTCTGGAAAGCCTCAGACAGCGTCTTCTTCCACCCAGGCCCCCCGTGAGTGCTCCACCCAGGAAGGGGTCTAATCGCCACGCGTGACATCAAAGGGACAGGCCCGACTCGGCTCAGCAGCCCTGCAGAGTGTACAGCAAACACACCACAACGGGCCACAAAGATGCTCGGCAGGCGCGACTCGGGCGCCATGGCGAGGCGAGCACGGAGCCACCAGCAATGTCACAGAGCACGCCGTCCGTGGGCAGCAGCTGTACTTTAAATAGATGTAAAGAGACACCCATGGAGCTCAGAATTACTGAGGCAAAAGGTTTCACAGCGAGCTTGTGACATAAATCACAGTTCCCCCATGCCCAGACAAAGGCACCGTCCCCACGGCAGGCGGACACGAAGCAGCCATCCGAGCCGTGCGCAGTGCTCTGCCGCGAAAATCAAAGCGGTGTCACAACTTCCGAAGCCAGCATGTTGACAACGCCAGGTCTTTCTGCCCAGTTGACCACTAGTTAACACCAGAAGCAGAGACACGGGATGCCAGGACAGGCGCAGGTAACAGGCCACAGCCAGGGTGGGATTCTGGAGGGTGTCAGGACCGGTGCAGCCAGGTCTGGAGCAGAACAGGCAGGGGCAGAGAAACACACAGACAGACATGACTCCAAACTTGTGTGGCACCTATCACAAAGTGACTTTGTGGGTGGGATGCTTGATCTGGCATCAAGGGCTTTGCTCAAGTTTCTCTCCTTCTGTCCCTTCCCTACCTGGAAGACAAACTCATGAAACAGTGATAAAGCTCTGTTTTATCTTTTTCTGGGAAGCACTGCTTTGCTCATCCCACCTCTTTGAAGAGGACATTTCTGGTTCAACTCCAGAAAATGTTGGCACACCAAAGAGAAATACATTATGTCCATCCCACTCCAAGATGGGATATGACCTCACTAAAGTCAAGGAGCTAAAATGTCGGGTATGGTGGCATGCACCTATTGTCCCCACTGCTCGGGAGGCTGAGGCAGGAAGATTGCTTGAGCCCAGGAGTTCAAGGCTTCAGTGAGCTATGATCTTGCTACTGTACTCCAGCCTGGGTGACAGAGCCAGATCCCATCTCTGAAAAAAAAAAGTAGCAGCAAGACCAGACTCAAACCATTGCCCTCCCCTACCTCCTCCACAGGAACCTCCTTGACTCATTACTGGGTTTAAGTGACCAACTTTACTTGTCCCCTAATATCACCTGACCCACTTCCAGAAGCCTTTCCTTTGCAGTCAGCATGCTCCCACCCTGCCCCCTATTTTGTGCTATTTTCCCAAGGCACTTTCCCCAAATGCCCCCGTGGTTGTTTGTGAATAACTCAAACTTGCCCATCAGCTGGGGAAATGCAGGGACAATACCACTGATGAATTATTTCCCCCAAACCATGCAGGCATGTTTCCCACAGGCATCCCTTCAGTGCTTAGATAATTATTCATTCAACAACCATTTTCTGGTACTGGAGTTACAATGAAGAACAGGAGTATACATATTTCCTGCCCTGATGGAGCTGCCTGTTCCATGGGCCAGACAATCACACACACCAATGTGAGAAGCACTGTAAAGCCAAGGCCCACCCCACCTTGAAAGTGCTGAATGGAGAGTTTGACCTTGCAGGTGAGGGGTGGGGGTGGCAGTCAGAGGCCCCCTTAAGTTACAGTGTTTCATGACGAGTGAACCCAGAGCTAAGGCTATGCGAAGAGGGAGGACAAACATTCCAGACAGCATGGGTATATGTCCTGGGGCAGAATAAGTACTGCAATGTGTGCAGTAAGAAAACAGCAAGAGGGTACTAACTGATGGACAGTTAGACAGGGACCCTGCTAAGAATTTGGGCTTTTACCTTAGGAACAATGGAAATCTGTGGCATCATTCTACGCGAAGGAGGTGACATCATCAAAATAGTGTTTTGGGATTTCTCAAGTGTAGCAAACATCTCAGGACAGAGGGCTGATGGAAACCGCATGCTGTTGGGCAGTCCAGGTAAGAGATGCAGAGAGCTTGAGCAGGGCGGTGGAGGTTGATGACAAGAGTAACAGATACTAGAAACATCTGCAAGTCTCTAGTCTTGCCTTACCTTCTGCACATTAACCGTCCTGAAAATAGAGACCTCATGTTTTCATGTTTTCTTCTTACCTAAATACAGAATTAGGTGAAGTAACTTCAGCTATTTGCCCCAATTTCACAGGATATTTAGTGGAAGAGCCCTGGGGTAGCAGTCGTCAAAAACCAGGGCTCTATTTCCTGTATCCCCAGAGCTGCATGTGGACCCAGCCCCCAGCGGGAGGAGGGAGACAAGAGAGCGGAATAGTGCGCCTCTGTTTTCCTTGTTCTTGTTTTATTTCTCCATCTACATATAAAGCAATGTGTGCCTGTGTGATTTTTCCCCTTAATTTTCTTTCTGCCGCCTCATTAGCTGAAGAGAGCGCGTGTGGACACTAATGACATCAGCATGTCAGAGTAATGTGGCAGCCGCCTCTCTGCAGACAGCAAGGAGGCAGCGGAGATTTTTAAACTGTGTTGGCGTAAAAATAATGAAGGCAGCCAGCTGCCTGGCAAACATGAGGGGGCACGATGCAGAGGGACGGGGAGGGGCAGGGAGCCCCAGAGAGGTGGAACAGAGGAGAGACAGAAAATGAATTCCCAGAGACAGGCAATAAGACTCTGTCACAGTCTGTAACCTGGGTGGGGGGTGGGGTGGGGAGGAGGTGGTGCTTTGGCTCTGAGGGAGGGGAGCTCTTCCCTAGGAGGGGTCCTCTGTGTTGGGGTGACTCTGTGTTGTGTGCGGTCTACAGAGAAGTGACAGGACCAGTTGGAGGGTCGCTGGAGGGTCAAGGTTCACAAGGCCCAAGGAAGCCAGAATGGCCCAGGGTGCCAGAGAAATAGAGCCAGACTCCATCCACAGGGGTCCAGTGTGAGTTGTTCTTAGTGGTGTGATTTTCTCCCAAAACAGAAGAGGGGTGATTGGAATCAGCGACCATTGTGCACGAAGAAATGGCAAGTTCATGGGGCTTGTGAAAGCCAGAAACATCAACACATCAAAAGCACATTGTGAGGTGAAACGTGGGAAGGGCTGAAGCTGGCTGGGAAGATACATGTTTGATTGTGCCAGACCCTCTGTAGCTCAGTCTCTCTGTGCCCATGCTCTGTTTCTCTTTTTCCCTAAAGCCTGCTTAAGCCTGACTTGGTGACAATGATGGATTTTTTTTTAATTGATAATTTAAAAAAAGAAAAAAGAATTGGGGATTGGGAGGTGACCAGATATTATAATTCATATGATGTCAATATTATGCCCAGTTTTAAAAGAGTAAGTTTCTGACCTCTTAAAAGTATGATTGAAGACATAGATGAAAGGAAGAAAGGCAGAAAGGGAGGGAAAGAGAAAGGATTACACAGCAACAAAGTAGGCTCCTGTCTGAGTCCAGGAAAGCCTGACATTCTCTGAGGCTGCACAGTCATAAGTTTCCAGGCAACCAGGCAGATGTTACCCAAAAACGTCAGCCAGACAGTGGAGGATGCTCATGGAGATGCATTCGAGGAGATGGAGCAAAGTGCAGAGCAGCCTGTTGGCTCTACCAAGAAGAAGGGGGCCAGAGGAGGCCTCCAGGTCAGAGCTCAGATCCACCATTTGTGGATCTGGGAATGGGAATGGGCCCGGCCCCCTAACCCCTTACCTCCACTCCGTCCCTCCACAGTTTCCCAAGTGGATAGAGAGCAGGACCACAGACTTTCACTGCATGTTGACAAACCTTGGTTCTCACTTTAATCATAAAAGAACAAGGAGAAAAATTAATGGATACATGAAGGAAAAGGGGACAAAAAAGAAAAGTGAGACAGCCTCCAGAAAATATAGAGGAAATCCATCTCTCTCGCATACAATCCAGAAGAAAATCCAGGAATTGTATGGCATCCTCTATGCAGTGCAAGAAGACATAGCTTCTGTGACCCATGAAAACAGAACAGGTTAAGATGAAAATTCAGCAGGACATGAAAAGAATGATGAAGGAGATAAATTACACCAAGACACTGGGTACAGTGGCTCACACCTGTAATACCAGCACTTTGAGCAGATCCCTTTAGCCCAGGAGATTGAGACCCACCTGAGAAACATAGCAAAACCTTGTCTCCACAAAAAATAATTTAAAGATTAGTAGGGCATGGTGATGCATACCTGTAGTACCAGCTACTTGGAAGGCTGAGACAGAAGGATCACCTGAGCCCAGGAGGTCAAGACTGTGGTGAACTGTGATTGTGTCACTGCACTCCAGTCTGGGCAACAGAGTAAGAACCTGACTCAAAAAAGAAAAATGTTATACCAAGAAAGTAAGAGCACACTCATAGATCAAATTATACATTAAATAAGGAAAAGGCAGCATTATCTCATAAATAAAGACTCAAATCAGTGACATGCATTAAGGTGCCTGTGTATCCTCAGGTCCTTCCCTGCAGTGCCTGTGCTCTGTTCTATATCCTGAAGGGGTAGGGGGAAAGTTCTGCCCCTCTAAGCTGAACTCAGAGCCCCCTATTAGCTGACTTGTGGTTAGGCTCAGCCAGTGAGAGGCGTCAGGGAAATTGGAGTGTGGAGGAACTAAGAAGCCAGGATATTTCTCGTCCATTTTATCTTCCTTGTATAACTTCTCCAGTAGTACTTGCATCTCCTTTGTTACTCCATGAACCACCAGACAGCTCCTCCCTTCGTGACCTCAGCCCCGCCAGGCAGCCCCTGACTTGATGTGGTTCCAGCCTCCACTAGGCGCCCCGTCCTCTGGACTCTGATAAGATCACCTCATCCCATTGTCCCACTAGCTCTGAGAATATTGACAGCTTTCTGTTTTGTTCATCTCTAGGCTGCGTCATCGATTATCATCCCCTCATTGGCATCTCAGCAGTTTGGTTACCTGTACAATCAATTCCATGTGTTAAATTGTCTCTGATTAAAAAACCTAGAGTGGTTTATTTTTCCCTATTGAACTCTGATACCAATTATTTCAGCCACAATTAGCAAAAAACCCAATTCAGACAGGTTTAGATAAGGAAATCTATCTTCTTATCTCACACTACAAGAAGTGAAGAAGTAGCAATCTTCAGGATTGATTGTTTCACTGTCCAGATGATGTCATCAAAGAACCAGGTGCTTTCCAACTCAGCTCTGTCATCCTTAATGAGTCAGCTTTGTCCTCAGAATGATTCCCCCTTGGTCACAAGATGGCTTCTAGCAACAACATGGCCAGCCAGTTTCCTCAGTCATATCCAGTTGCCTTTTTTTTTTTAAAGAAGTGCTGCAAAATTATCTCTGTTTGGCTTAAACCTGCCCTTCCCTGAACCAATAACTGAATGGAATTACCATGATTGGATTAAACTAAGAATCTGGATTGTTAAGAAGTCAACCCCAATGCTCACTGTAAAGGAGAACTGACTGATGTTAATAGCTCTTCTTAAGCACAAAAGAAAAGAACAAAGCCAAGAAACTGAAAGAGAAAGTGATGGGCATGAGAGACAGAGAGTAGAGCGCCAACTCACAGATAAGTGATGTTACTGCAGAAGAGCCTAGAACAAATGGACTCAAAATAATAACCTAAGACATACTAGAAGAAAACTTAGCTTCACTAAAAGTCTTAACTCGAAGTCAGAGGTTGAATGGGTGTTCTCTGCAAATCAATGATGAGAGGCATACATCTATATACGTTCTGGCAAAAATGTTCTAAAAAGACATGAAAAAAAATTTTGCAAAGCATTTAAACATAAAACAGCCTATTCATAAAGGAATAAAAATCAGGCAGGACTCAGATTTTTCTGCTGCAATATTAACATAAAACAATGAAATATCATCTACAAGTTTTAAAAGGAAAAGCTTCACACTAGAATTTTGGACTCAGTCAAGATAACTTTCATTTTGATGACAAAAGAAAGACACTTTTAGATATCAATGGCTCATAAAATATAGCTTTCTGATGTACTTTTTGAAAAGGAAGAATACTTTTATCTATTATTTATCCAACAATTATTTATTGAGTGCCAATCACATACTAGCAACATACTAGGTGCTTGGGATAAATGGATGAACAGGTCAGAGAAAAAAGTACTCCTGCCAGCGTGGAACTTACATTCTAACTGGGAAGATAGACATTAAACATGAGTATAACAAGTAAGCCAATAAACCAGGCTCGGTGGCTCAGCCTGTAATCCCACGCTTTGGTAGGCTGAGGTGAGTGGATTGCCTGAGCCTGTGGGTTCGAGACCTGCCTGGGCAACTTGGCGAGACCTCATCTCTATAATAAATCAAAAAATCAGCCGGGCGTGGTAGCGTGCACCTGTAGTTCCAGCTACTTGGAAGACTGAGGTGAAGGATCGCCAGAGCCCAGCAGGTCAAGGCTGCAGTGGCTGGGAGCAGCCACTGCACTTGAGTCCAGGCAACAGAGTGAGACTCCAACTCAAAAAAAAAAAAACAAAAAACACGTAAGCCAATAAAGGGATAAGAACTATAGAGGAAAGAAGGTGGTGGGAGGCAGTTGTAATTTTAAATTGGGTAGTTAGGTTGAGTGACTTTGGACAAAGACTTGAGAGAGTTGGAGGATCCACAGTGCAGATGTCTAGAGAAGAGCAGCCCAGCAGAGAAGCAGCCTATCAGGTGACCTAAGGCTGGAGTGGGCCTGCCCTGTGCTCAGAACCAGGGGGAACCAGTGTAGCTAAAGGTGAAAAGAGCTGGTGGGACAGTCATTGGAGACAAGATCAGAAGTGGGAGGGGAGGGAGCACTGGTTGCACAGAGTCTAGTAGGACATTGTTTTTATTTTCATTTTTATTTTTATTTTTTTTGAGTTGGAGTCTCACTCTGTCACCCAGATTGGAATGCAGTGGCATACTCCCAACCACCGCAGCCTCAACTTGCTGGGCTCCAGCGATCCTTCCACCTCATCTCTACAATAAACTTCCAACTAGCTGGAACTACAGGTGCGCGCTACCATGCCTGGCTAACTTTTTGGATTTATTATAGAGATGAGGTCTCGCCAAGTTGCCTAGGTGGGTCTTGAACCCCTGGGCTCAGGCAATTCATTCACCTTGGCCTCCCAAAGTGTGGGATTACAGGCTGAGCCACCAAGCCCGGCCACTTGTAGGACACTGTAATGACTTTGACCATTGAAGGGGTTTGAGGAGAGGTGTGACATACCTGACATTTTGTAAAGATCCTTCTGGTTGCTGTGTTGAGAAAATACTTAAGGAGGATAATATAGTGAGAAATAAGTTAGGAGAATGTTGCCATAGTCCACATGAGGGATGATAGTGGTGTGGGTCAAGGGTGATCTAATTTTGGATATATTTTAGAGGCAATGCCAATGGGATTTCTTTAAAGAGTGGATGTGGAATGTGAGAGAAAAAGGAGTCAAAAGTGCCTCCAAGGCTTTCAGCCTAAGAGACTAGAAGGATGACTTGGCCATTCCCTGAGTTGGGGAATGTTATAGATAGAGCAGCAGATTGGGCCCGGGTGAACTAGGGAGTTCAGTTTTTGACTTGTTGAATGTGAGATACAGCCAAGGGGGAATATTGAGTAAGCAGTTGAATCTTCAAGCCCATTGTTTGAGAGAGAGAGATTTGACTGACCTGGAGATAGACTTTCTAGGGTCTGTGGCATGTGGGTGGTATTTAAAGCCAGGAACCCAAGTAGGACCACCAGGGAGTCAGAGTAAACAGAAAAAAGAAGAGGATCAAGGACTAGAAGCCAGGGCAGTCCAACATCAGAAAGATGGAGTGATGAGAAAGCAGCCCAGGAAACTGAGGAAGAACAGCCAGTGAGGTGGGAGAAGAAATCAAATTGTGCCTTCCTGGAGCCAAGTGAAGAATGCATCAAGGTGGAAGATATCATTAACTGTATCCAACATGACTGCTACAGCAAGTAAGGCAAGGCAGAGCATTGACCATGGGCTGTGGCCAGATGGTTGGTGCTCCTGAGAAGGGTGGTACGGGTTAAGTGGTGGGGCTAATGGCTAGTGGGGGTGAATGTACTGCAACCGACAAAAAAGATGACATTAAAGAAGAACTCAGGAATGAGAAAGTCAGTCC